CCCTGACAATATCCGGATCCGCTCCGTACTGTCCCTGACCGTACGCACCAAATCCCCAGCGTCCTTACACACCTCCGAAGCGGACGTACAACCTCCGGTCACCTCCGGAGCGGGCCTGCAACCTCTGAAGTGGGAGTATTAGGATTCTGCAAGCCCTGCTCTGGGACTTGCAACCCCGATACCTATCCAACTCAGTTCCGATTATTAACCAGTAACCGAACGAACCCACACGTAAGTATATAGACTATTGCTGGTAGAGTTCTGTTCGGTACACAACGTCTTGTACCTACTTAGATACCGTACGTAGTAATTGATTTAGACTCCTAGCGAGTCCTAAAGGGCCTACTCGTAGCATCTTCGTGACACTTGCTTAGGTGACTGTCAAACCCCTACAGACTCCCTGTACCTCCGCTCATCCCCAAGAACCAATCGAATAGTGTCTATGAGCTTTGCTTAAGGCACAAATCACAACACGCTACTGTACTATTACTAGACTATTACTACTTGTAGTGGATGCCAAGAAATTGCTTATGTAATAAGACAACGCACGAGCTTCTTGGCTCCATCTTGAAAATCAACGACACCTCTCTCTACCACTCTACAAGTACGGTTACTATTTCCTCTTGTTGCTATGCTCCAACCTAAGCTAAGCGCCATTTCTACACCTCCTGCACCTACGACTCCTTTCCAAGACGTATCAACTCTACCACCACAACTATCGTCCACCTTGCCTACATCCACACCCCGAGAACGTAAATCCACAAACAAATATACGCAAAAGAATAATCGTTATCGAGACAAACTCCAAAAAGCAGCAGGCTCCAAGCCTGCAATAGTAAAGGCGCGGGCTGCAAATAATACATATATTAGCAGGGCAAAGGCAGCACTACTTAGAGTGAAGGAGGCAGAATTGAGGGATCTTTCGGAAGAGAATCGATGTCTTGCCAGCAGAGAATTAGGGCGCTGTTCCCGACAACATTCCATATTGTCTATGTGCGTTGAGTTGTCTGCGTGCATAATAGTCAACTAATACATATAGGTTGAGATTGAACATCCACTGGGTACAGAAAGCGCGTTCGATTGCCTAGCTGAGTGTTGGCTATCTGACAACGACATTCTTCAAAAGGAAGGGATCACAAGCAAGCAATACGATAACTTTGAACCAGATTCTAAGCCAGGCAAGTCACGAGATTGGGATGTTGACGTGTCAAAGTTCAGGTATCCGCTACGTAGCGCACAAAAGAGATCCAAAGTCAAAGTGTGACTACCTAAGCGGACTGTCACGACTATTACCAGGTTGCTCTTCTAGATATCCTCACAGCCCTCGAATGCCCTCTTCAGTTGTCGATTAATCCTCCGTGGGTACCAGGATAGCAAATTCTTGCCAGCTGTTAGATCTACAAATCTTTCACTAGTTGAGCTTGCTGTACCAGTCTTCAACTCTTGTTTGCTGACTGCACTGGTCCGAGTTGGTGTAGTTTGAGATGACTGTAGCTCATCAAACCTGCGACAGGCCCCTTTTGCAAGCAGGTGGTCGAATACCCTAGTGCTCTACAGTAGGTCTAAGTCCTCCAGAAGGTTGTCACGAAGATGCTACGAGTAGGCCCTTTAGGACTCGCTAGGAGTCTAAATCAATTACTACGTACGGTATCTAAGTAGGTACAAGACGTTGTGTACCGAACAGAACTCTACCAGCAATAGTCTATATACTTACGTGTAGGTTCGTTCGGTTACTGGTTAATAATCGGAACTGAGTTGGATAGGTATTGGGGTTGCAAGTCCCAGAGCAGGGCTTGCAGAATTCTAATACTCCCGCTTTGGGGGTTGCAGGCCCGCTCCGGAGGTGACCAGAGGTTGTACGTCCGCTTCGGAGGCGCGTAAGGACGCTGGGGATTTGGTGCGTACGGTCAGGGACAGTATGGAGCGGATCCGGATATTGTCAGGGGATCTGGAGAGGATACCGTGACAAAGGTACTCCACTGGTTGATATGCCTTCTCCTTCCCCTTGCATGAACTCTTGGTTTCTTTTCTTTCTTAATCCGCAAATCAAGGGGTTCATCCTTCACCCTTGTCTATTGATTCCATCACTCTACATCGACCCTCACGCAAACCCGACAAGTGTGAGAGACCAATAGCCGCCCTGAACTGTGAGCCGCGTCTGGAAATAGCACGCTGACAGAATTGCTGTTGAGATGGTCAGCCAGCACCTTCACTGCAGTTCTTCAGGCCCTGCGCCTTCCCATTTCCGACTAGCGCCCACAGCTCCCTCCTGCGTAGATAAACACCACGTAGGTAGCTACTAACACATCACGATTCTGCTCATATCACCTCCCTTGACAGAGATTATCAACACGTAACTTCATGTTGCGAATCGTTCAACGAACCCAAGCAGCTGCTGTCGCCCTTCTCGATGCAAACATTGTCTTCCTGAATGATGCGTTGCATGACAAGCGGGGGAGGTGAGAATACTGACCAATGCACCGTGGTGGGAATGTTTTTGGTAGAAGTCAAGGACTCGTTCATCTTCATTTAGTATCGTACAAAGTACAAGTACAGTCTAAGCAAAGCAAACACTAAAAAAATCACACTTGTGACCTATCCTTCTCCTGTGATGATGCCGCATCATCAACGACAACAATAGGTGGTGTAGTGACTACGACATCCTTCTCAGGATCATGAGTCTTCTTCTTCCTGAATAGGCTACCAATAGCAGAGCAGCCCTTACCAATCCACCTATAAGCAATAACAACCGGTGTACCAGTGACATGTGCAATAGCAGCAAACCAAGGATCAGGGAAGTATTTGATCGCAACAGCCCAAGGAATGCAAAGGAAACCAATGATGATCGAGATAGCCCACTGAGTGCCATCAATACCGCCAGGCTTGATCTCGAAGGCACGTCCACCAACAAAGATGATCATGACCTGAAGACCAATGATGAGAACAACGATGAAAGTGAAGAAGTGGTTGCGATGGATACCCTCGAAGATGTTGAGCTTGTTGTCCAGACGCCTGTTGTTGAAGATGTTGAAGATCTGCATCCAGACGAAGCTGTTGAAGATGACAGTGTCGAGCTCGAGCTTCTTGTTGGGGTCCGAGAGGTCGTAGCCAAGGATGTCACCACCGGCAAAGTAGAGTAGGAAGATTGCGGTGAGCTTATAGATGTTCTGACCGGTAATCTGCTTCCACATCGTGGTGGTGATGAGCGGCTTGTCCCTGCCTTGGGGTGGGCGGTTGAGTATGCGCTCGGTGGGAGGGTCAGTGGCGAGGGCAAGGGCGGCGAAGGTGTCCATAATCAGGTTGACCCAGAGTAGCTGAACGGCCTTCAGGGCGGGCTTCATCTCGTCGTCATAGACAGCTGTGACGAAGGCGAGCAGAACGGCGGTGATGTTGACAGTGATCTGGAACTGAAGAAACTTCTGTACGGCATCGTTCACGGCTCGTCCCCACATAAGGGCGGTGATGATCGAAGTGAAGTTGTCGTCCATGAGAATGATGGCAGATGCCTCCTTAGCAACCTCAGTACCTGAGATACCCATGGAGAAGCCAATGTTGGCAGCCTTAAGAGCAGGTGCGTCGTTGGTTCCATCGCCTGTGACAGCCACGATCTCGTTCAGGGCCTTGAGGCGCATAACGAGTACACGCTTGTCTTCAGGCGAAGATCGAGCCAAAACCTGGAGACGGGGAATGACCTCATCCATCTCAGCCTCGGAAAGGCGACGGAACTCGGGTCCTTCCATGACAACGCCACCCTCAGTGTAGATGTTGCACTCCGTTGCAATGGCTCGTGCGGTCTGTATGTTATCACCAGTGACCATGCGAACGGTAACGCCAGCACCTTGGGCTTTACGAACGGCCTCTGGCACACCGGGGCGAACGGGATCCTGAATACCAACTACACCGAAGAAGGTAAGATCGCTAAGGATGGAAGCGAAGTCGACGCTGCCGGTCTCAGTGAATTTGGCGTTTGCTGGAGGCCACTGGGCGTATTCCTGGTAGACAAGACCGATAGTCCGCAGAGACTTGTTGGCGAGCTCTCCGATTGTCGAGAGTAGTGCCTGGCGACCTTCCCCGGAAAGGGGTTCAGTCTCCAGTGTCTTGAAGTTGGCTTGCTCTGAGCACATGCCGAGAAGAATCTCAGAGGCACCCTTGACAACCAGACGGTAGCCGCCTGTCTTGAGCTTGAGAACTGCAGCCATGCACTTCTTGCTCGAATCGAACGGCATCATGTGCACAACCTCCCCGTTGTCGCGAGCTTCAGGTAGTGACAGAAGACCAAGGTGGTCCTTGGCAAGTTGCAACAAAGCAGTCTCGGTCTTGGATCCAACAAACACCTGCCTGCCCTCCTCTTCACCCTCGAAGGCGGTGGAGTTGATAGCGATTGACTGAACGAGGAGCTCCTTGGCAGCGGGGGTAACATTGGAGGCCCAAGATGCGAGAGTCGTTCCAGTCTCAGTGTCGGATTGTGCAAAGCTGGCAGTACCAAACTTGCCAGCAACGACTGTCATCTTGTTGGTGGTGAGCGTTCCTGTCTTGTCCGAGCATATCGCAGTAGCATTGCCCATGGTTTCGCATGCTCGCAGAACACGGACAAGGTTGTTCTCCTTCAGCATCCTTGTGGTTGCAAAAGCCAAGGCGAGTGTAACAGCAAGAGGTAGACCCTCAGGTACCGCCACGACGATGATGGTGACTGCAACAATCAAGATATCCATGAAAGCGGAACCCTTCTCGGTAGGTGTGCGGTTGTCACCTGACAGACCGCCAACGAAGCGGAAGAGCAAGATGAAGAAGAGAATGCCGGCAGCAGCGCTGCCAATCTTGGAGATGGCGACAGCGAGACCACCAAGCTTCTCCTGAAGTGGTGTGGCTTCCATCTCAGTGCGAACAGACATCATGATCTTGCCAAAAGAGCTGTGTACACCTACAGAAGTGGCCATGTAGGTACCAACACCCTCATTGACTTTGGCGCCGGAGATGATGAAAGGGTCGAGTCCCTTCTGAGACTGGCAGTTCTCAAGCGCTTTCATGACCATGGAGCTGGGTGTCTTGCGGATCGCATCTGACTCGCCAGTGGCAGAAGATTCGTCGCACTTAACATCGTGACCTTCGATAAAGATGCCGTCGACCGGGATGACATCACCGGGCTCCATGTGGATGATGTCTCCAACGAGTACATCGTAGACGCTGATCATGATGGCTTTGCCGGATCGTGTGACCTTGATCTCACGCTCTTCCTTTTTAGCGTTGAGTCGAACGAACGCTTGCTCCTTCTGCCAGTCGTTCACGGCTGTGACCAGGACGACGATGACGATAGCGATACAGATAGCAAGCCCCTCTACCCAGTCTACTGGTGTTGGTGAACCAGGCGGGTGCTCCGCGCCGAACGTCTCATAGAGGCCAAGTGCCAGTGAAATGGCGGCGGCGACAGTAAGAACGATAAGTACAGTATCGTTATAAGCGTTCCATACTAGTCTCCATAACGGCGTTGGTTTCTTAGGGGGTAATACATTTCGTCCGTATACGTGTATCCGGTCCTCGAAAGGTTGTCCGCCGCTATGTGATCGTTCGGTCTTCTTGTCATTAGTTGCGCCATGCACGGCTTGGTCGAATGTGATTTGCTGAGGAGCAGCTGCTTCGTCGATGCTCAACCCAGTATGTGTATCTGACTGCAGTCCATGTGCAATACCTTGTAAGCCACCTAGCGCCTGGAAAGCAGGCAACGACTTTGGGTTGAAGAGCTTATTGAGTTGGCCTGGGGAAAAGGCGAAAGGATTGTTGTCCACTTTGAAGTCGCCCTCCGTCCCAGGATCGGGCAGTAATGCGGTCTCGGAATCGTTTACTGCTGTTGATGCGTTGCTAGGGGATACTTCTGATAGTGGCGATACTGGTGTCCGGAAAGGATCGGATGTGGAAGAAGAAATGGTATCGGTGTTGCTCAGAGCTCGTTGCCGAGTGTTGACCTGTAGGTTAGGTGGCGCGAGTTTTCCGCTCTCCATATCGTATGAACGTATGTCGCTAAGATTAAAGGAAATAGTGAATCTGGAGTAAATGTAGTAGATTCAGTCGAACTTGAGATACTGTAGGCGACAAGGGGTATCGAGCTGATGGAGTATGTATGACTGTGTTAAGCTGAGTGTGTTGAAGCACCATATATATCAAGGAGGCTGTGTATTCTTCGCCTGCGACAAGCGCCCCTTGGCTCTTGTGTGCGTCATTTTCACATCTGCCTTGAGATCAAACGTATAAGGTAGTCATTTCAGCCTTTCTGGGCATTGCGCCCCACGGTCGCTTCGCGGCCTTGACCTACTCAGATCTAGAGGGTTGCGAGCGGGGTATTGCTAGAATATGGAAGGAGGGTACCGAATACTTGCTTGACTGCCAATATGGTATACAACGGCGGCCAAGAGATGGCAAGAATCGTTGTTGGTTGATACGGCGGGTGGAAGAGCTCTCGATTGTGCGTGCCCAGACGACAAGACGCCAACGCGCCATGGCCCGGGGGCAGTGCAAATTGTGTGACAGCATGGCAGCGCGGGGTCCTTGTACTTTCCTCGTTGGCGGCAAAGCTGTGGAAAACAACAATCTCGACTGTCGAGAAATTTGGTCTGAAAAGGCATCATGGTTTGGCAAGAACCACCGAAGTCTGAATAGGGTGTTTACAATGATCAGCCTAGGAGGGACTAGACAAGGCTGCGACATAAATTCAGCCGTTTCGACCAATGACCAGTCAAGCCATGCGCCACAAGCTTTCGCCACTGCGGCTGTGTGCAGAGAGTCGAGCGAATCATAGATCACCCCTTTTGGCAGAGTGATTGTTAAGGGCAGTGCGGCAGAGCACGCGTATCTATCGTAAATCGACCAATCAACAGCTGTGGCACAATGACATCGCCACAAATGTCACAGCTTAAGCTCAACACTGCTGTTGCCCCCATCTCGAACTCTCACCTCTACTGTAGTACGTATGCAATAATCTAGTCCGACAACTGAGGCTCGTGAATTTGCACGTGGACACATCCAGCAAATGATAGGTGCATACCTCAGTCACCACGCTGAAGTATTGCGAGGCGCAGCCTTCCAAGACGCGGACGTTGGTACAGATCTTGATTAATAATCTCACAAAATGTGTTAGTGGAATATCCTGTTGTGACTGACACGGCCAAATCTCGCCCTCCGAAGAGGTACGTACAAATTTCCGTCACCGGAAAGGGGCTGTTCACACATGGGCAAACTAAGTGCGGCTTATCGTAAACCTCATAAGTCCTCTACCGGTCGGTGAAGGACATAGCCTTGTCAGCGCTATCTTGCACGTGCCACGTTTCTTTGAATCAAGTCATTTTGCTAGGCAGCAGCCTCGCAGTCGCAAATGGTCATCATCTTTGAGAAGTTTGACTGCGTCGCATCTCGGTGAACTCCAAATCCGGCTACATCTGGTTATTGGAAAGGAGTAGAGGCGTCTTCGCATAAACTTGAGTAATGTGTAGAGTTGCCTCGTAGTCTGCTAAGATCATAGCGGCTCATGATACTGCTACGGTTTCGTGATGGATCCAGTCCCCGCTCAAATCGCCCTGCTGGTGCGCGGACCGAAACGTCATTGAGCGAACAGTTTTGCTTGAGTTGAGGCAGTGTTGGTCTTGGTGAACGCGAGCATTGAAGCTTCAGTGTCGAGATGTACCGGTCAAGCTGATTCTGACGGCTTTTTGCGGCATCATGCATTAATTGATGAGTACTGCCGGCCTACTGACACGATTGCCCCGTGAGTCTATACTATTTCGGCCTAAAGCTGCAGTTTAAGAGCCCGAAAGCAAAGACAGCTTCGATTTGCGATATCGAGTCGCCGCTACGAAAATTTCATCTGCACGTGCCCATATAGCAGGAGCACTTTCGTTCTCCTCCATGACGAACGGTATACTCTCGAGCTCTTGAGCACCTATCGACATTGAGGTTATCGATTGGTGAAACCAGCGACTCTACCACGATCGGGGCGCCAACCTGAACCGTGCTCAATACTTCGTCGTATAGGAGTACGAATTCTGATGCCCCATTGTCCAGAGAAGTATTATGGCATTTGATGAGAACCCTATTGCCCCGGACCTCGTACCGCTAATATTCAGTGCAGTCCGACTGTCTAGCGAGAAACTCAAATAGAATATCAAGATGTTGGAGTTCAGTGAAGAACTGTACACAAAGGGAAGAAGTTGAAGATTGTACTGAGGTTGTGTTGAGTGAAGCTACAAACAGTATATATAGGTGAGTAGCTGTAAACAACGCTAGTGTGACGTGGCAGTCACTCTCATGGCAGGTGAGGTACAACAGGCAGGAACACCCTGAACCGTGACACAATAGCATTGACTGATGATGGTTGTCCATGGTTTGACCAAAATTTCCGTTTCATTGAAGCCTTGAAAGCCAATGATCCTTCATCCTGTCAAAACGACGGTTCGACTCGTGTGACCCATTGCCAACGTGTCTCATCTTCCCTCTGCATTGCAGCTACAAGCTCCATAAAATCATTCACCTGCGCTTTCGTCAGACCGAAGCTCTTCACAAAGGAACTGAGACACCGTAATTCATTCGATTGCCTCTCACGTCCACTAACTGCTCGAGGATATCTTGTGCAATTTGAAAAAGCGAAGTCAATTGGAAGTCACTACTCTTATCCCACGAGACCCCGTCTGTCTTCGCACGAGCACCATTGTCGCGGTCCCGCAGCGATACAAAAAGGCCGACCTTTCTGACCCTCGGATCCTAAGGGATATATACACCGCAACAACCATAAACCACCTTCTGCCACGAAATATACCGCTTGGACAGGAAAATCCCTTGTACAATCAAGCCGCGTGGAACACTCGTGGTGGTAGACATCGGCGGACAGAGTTAGGGGCGACGGAGACGGCGACTGACGCTTCTGCTTGAAAAAATTGTTCTATCCATCGCGCACATGGTTTAAGTCAAATCTCAAAGCACTTGCATCGACGTTTTGTATTTCCAAGTCCAACCCGTCAAGTCTCGACCAACTATTGTCGACCGGCCGTGATTCATCTTCGAACCATACCAAGGCACTACTAGCCCGTGTATATATTTGCTACATAAGATTGACCTGGTGGTAACGTTCTAGAGGGTTGACCTGGTTCATGAAGATCTGTTTGGTTCACAAATAGACAGACCCATTCGTGTGAATTTGACAAAATTCTTGACAGAATGGGTACATGTTCCTTCCGATGTCTAGGTTTTTCTCATTAACAGACGTGGGAGATTTAGATAGTAATGTCCCCAAAGTGTAGGGAAGAGCATGATATGTCGGAGCCAAATCGAGATCGGAGACGCGCTTATCATAATGTAGTTAATCGTCGGTGTCATAATGGACTTTTGAACAGACGTACGTGGTTCGGTCAGGTGCTCTTTGGGTTCATGATTATAGACGCTGGAACTAGGGAAATCAGCAATCACTAACAGTGAGCTTTGATCAGGAGTGAGATAAAGCACGCCTCTGTCGAGTGGCACCACGTCTGGTAAATCAGTACCGGCATGGCTCAAGGCAAGAATGTTTTCGATGGAGGTAAGTTGTGGAAGGTGCCAGGTTGAACCTTGCTCTACGGGGGATTGTGTCAGTCTCATACACGGGCAAACAGCGCGCGTGCAAAAGGACGGCTGAAAATACGTCTTCTGTCACTTGTTTAACCGTTGTGCGCTGACCTGATCTGTGGGAGGCGACCCTGTTGATACAGTGCAGATTGGCTTGTGGAAGTATTCCAGTGAAACACGTTTTCATTTCGCACCATGCTTTCGAGTTGAGAGAATATGGAGTGAGAGAAGTTTTCGTCTACCTCTTCCAACTGTGTCGCGAAGGAGGAAGTATCGTTGGCGGAACATTGACATTCTTCATGTGAGTGTAAAAAGTGGGTTGGATGTTAAAATTGGGCGATGTCAGGTATCAACTAATTTCTTGGTGGCGAACGTTTGGCGTGTGGTGGCGTTATGCTTTCTCCAAGTCCCAATAGGTTAACTTCGTATCCTGATTGGCTCAAAGCACTGCGGAATTCGAAAGCTGAATCTTATAGGTCCAGTCAGAACCATCGTTCTCCCAAAGCATCGCGGAATATGAAAGCTGAGTTCTTATAGAACTCACCGTTGTTCTCAGGAGCACCATAGAAACTGGACTCGTGGTCATCGCCATACCACCACCGACCACCGACCTCTTCGCTCCCGCCAACAAATCCCATCTTGGTTATCTTGGTTTTCTGCCAAGGGCGCTCTCCCCCACCGTGTCCATATCATACGTTTCCTCCACGTATATACTGTTTACAAAAGCATTCCACCCGCGCATATCATGAACGGATAGTCTCATCTCCACACCTAGATTGCGCAGATTATCATAGCTGACGCGATCCGTGTCTGACTTCATATAAGTACGCAGTAACTCCAGGAGGAGGTTTTGAGCCAATTTTGCGTGATCAACGTTGATCTGTTGGTCTTCCAGAGCAAGGCCCATTAATTCGAAGAGTCTGTCGCGTGGATCGCTACACCCAAGCCCAGAAAATCGGGCAAGACAATCCATAAGACTTGGGCGTTGAGTCTGCATAGGGGTAAGCCGGTCACCTTCATGATCTGTATGACCACGATCCGCCCTAAGAGTGAGCAGTTAATCGGCAGTCTGCTCCACCGGCCACAAAGGCTGATACAGGAAGTTTGCAATTTCGCGTAGATTTGATATAGGTCGGTCCAAGGGGAATAAATACCTCCTGGATGATTCACAACAGGGAGAAGTGAGTATGCTGCGAGGTCATACGCAGACACTGCATTACATAATAACATACAGCGGTGTTCCTCATCAGCTGCTGGACCTGGCAATCTTGGAGGGGTAGCAAGTCTTTGCAAGATGTTCCATCGCAGCGTCTACTGGCACTTCCGTTCCATATCGTGTTTGATCATCGTTTGTTTAGATGATCGTATTGTTTGCCAACCCATAGATATCAGTCATGAGTTGCTCCTGGTGGTTCCGCTCCAGAACATCGAGCTGATCGATGCAAATTTGGTCCATCCACATCCAGCCAATCCAGTCGGAATCACCAAAGTTTTTGCTGCACCGAAATTGTTGACAAAAGCGGTATAGGTTCGATCCAATGCTGATTCGTTTGTGGTTAATGTATATGTTGCGTTTTGGCTAGGAATTGCCTCATGCATAAGAGAGCGCACTATACTCTCAAAGCCGATCGTACTTCGGTTCCATGATGAAGTGTTGTAATGCGCATTCGATCTTCGAAGCTGTGGACAAGTCACTCCGGCAGAGTCTGAGTAAGCGTATCTGCGATCACCTCTTCCATATCGACTACCTCTTCCACATTGAAGGGAGCCTTGCGCGCTTGTCTTTGTGATTTGAGCGTGCGCAAGACCTGCATTTTCTGATGGAGCCAAGATATGACATAGGGCACTCATGTACTGCGGAGTCCCGGATATTGAACCACGCATTAAGGTGTTCGTGGGAAACTGCAGAAAGTGAGATTTATGAGGCTACCGAGCTCTTCAGGGGATCGATGCGTTGCAAGGCTGAAGTACCCGGTGGTGGATGCTGAGCCTGGCAGCCTGTTCATCATTTCGACCAATCGGGTGCTCCTAAACGTCCGTCAAGGCTCTCATGTTTTTGTTGCGTGCAAACGAGCTCAGTTGACGAACATGTCAAGATGGCGCTGCCATAGTCCAAAGATCGAGTACTGGGAGTAAGTACTACCATAATGTTTTGGTTCTTTAAGAAGTCCTCGGCTCGGAACAAAGCGCGAGGCAGTGGTGGGGCAAGCACAATGGAGCTCACCCCATACACGAGAAGAGGCGGCCGTCTCCGACGCTTGCTGGTCGCCGTGCTGACTGTAAAATAGTGCTTTGATCGTGCGTGAACAGTTCCTCGAACTGACAACCTCCACAGCCAAATCTTGACGTACACGTAACAGTTATGGCAGCCTCGACACAAGGGCTCACACCTGAGCAGATCGAGTTCTTCAACAAGAATGGCTACCTTCTTATCCCAGATGCACTTTCACAAGATACAGTTAAGCAGCTGCTGGCTGATACCAACAAGATGCTGCACGGCTTCGAGTTAAAGGACCACCCAATGACCAAGTTCTCCACCGGTGGCGATGACGGCGCAGACCATGTAGGCGATGCATACTTCCTGGAATCTGGGGATAAGGTGCGTTTCTTCTTCGAGGAAGGTACGAATGCGCACATGTATACCCAAAGCTGTATAGCTAATACAAACCAGATGCCTTTGATAAGTCTGGGAACCTGACCAAGCCCAAAGAGCGCGCCATCAACAAGATCGGCCACTACCTCCACGAGCTATCCCCTTCCTTTCGCGAAATATCCCTCTCAGCGAAGAACGCAGCCATAGCACGCGACCTCGGCTTCCACGACCCTCGTGTTCTCCAATCCATGGTCATCTGCAAGCAACCTGAAATTGGCGGCGCAGTACCTCCACACCAGGACAGCACCTTCCTGTACACAAATCCACCAAGCGCGGTGGGGTATTGGTATGCGCTCGAGGACGCGACGAAGGAGAATGGATGCTTGAGCTTCGCAGCAGGGAGCCACAGGCGCGCGGCGGTCAAGCAGAGGTTCGTGCGGACGGGCGAGAATGGCAAGGAAGGCACTGGCTTCATTGACAATGAAGGACCGCAATTTCCCAATGGCTTGCAGACAGAGTCTGGTGCTGACAAGGAAGAAGTATACGATATGGGCGAGGTCAAGGCTGGTACACTAGTGCTCATCCATGGCAACATCTTGCACAAGAGCGAGAAGAACACCAGCCAGAAGAGCCGGAACATTTACACCTTCCATGTTATTGAGGGCCAGGAGAAGTACGACGAGAGGAATTGGCTGCAGCCGCCCGCGAGTGGGTTCTCGAAGCTGAGCGTCGGTGCGTAGGAATGAAGGTATCGATGATACTATGATAACTATGTCTTGCTCTGCACACATAGCGCAATACCGCCAAGTGCCAGGCCCATGCCGATCCATGTATCTGTGAATTATAAGCGGAGCGCAAATGTGTAACGAGCAGTATGACGTACCTCTGCTAATGACCTTTTTCTCTGCCCACCATTCACCCAACACCGTGAACATAAAGGCCAGTGAGTTTGTGATTGGTACCGTAAGACTTAGCTCTGCTATTTGTTAGCTTCCCACGAAGAGCACATGTCCAGTCTGGTACTCACCAGCCTTGCCAATCAAAATGAAGAACCATACACTGCCAGTGACATTGAGCAGCAACGGAATGGCATACGCTGGCCTACTCAGCACACCCTTCACAGCATACCAGATTCCCAGAGCCCTCCTCTTCAATGCCGAGTTCTTAGGATCGGTCAAAGAAGGGTGTGTCGGCGGGGTGTAATTTATGGCAGCTTTGCGCATGAATGGTGTGGTGAGCCCCCAACATGCACCAACCATCAGGAATCCAAGGATCCATCGGAAGATGGACGGCTGAGGGTCGCTGGCGACAGGCATGTCTGGATCCATAGCGATGTGCGACCGAACTAGTGAATCAAAATTGTATGTACAAGTGAGCAACCAGCGTGTAAGTCGCGTACAGTGGTGACGTCGCGGGTGTTTACTCTGAGCTGTCGCAGCCAAAGAGCCCGGAGTTCACGGGTCGCGCCTGCCTGAGGCTTCGTTACATTAGCGGCGCCTCTTTCCTCCGAGCCAACCCTCCATCACTCGAAACACCAACCACCGCAACATTTCGTCTTGTTGTTATTGGCAGCACTGCCATCCTCGCATTATTTTAACTCATTGTCAGGTCAACATGCGACAAACGACACGTTCGACACAAAGGCCAATGCAAGGGGGCACCTTGCGCTGCCAGAATTGGCACAACCTGCCGCTGCCCACGAGCGCAAAAGCACTTCCACAGTCAACACTATGAGCTCGTCACGAAGATGTCGTGCCCCTCTTCGCGTCCTTCTTCGCTACAGTTCATCCGTTCAAGCCTGTCAGCTGGGATTTGGAGCTCCCGCTCGCAAAGGCATGTGCAATACCACTCACGCCATGTTCTGTCTCAACCATCATCATCATCGCCCAAAGTCTGCTTGTCCACAGTTTTGCCGGCCATCACTTTTCTTTGTTCCCCAGATCTGGGTCTTCCCCTTAGACTCATTCCTCTATCCACTTCCTCTTCTGATGTCGGTTTCCTTATGTCAGTCAATCATTGTCTGCCCACTTCAGCGTCAAGTGTCTGAATTCTATCAATAAGGCAGGCTGGGAACGGCTGTTTGCGGCATGTTTGCTATCTGCATTCCATACACTTTGAAATCGAGTGGGTGGTTAAGTGAAGCGTTGCAATGGACCCCATCGCACGTCATCGCATCATCCATCAAGCTCGATCCCATCCCCCAGAGATCTTCAAATTATTTTCCGATGATATTCGAGATGAAACAGCCACCAAGAGCCTCAAGGGCGTACAGCGCCAGCGTCTGCAGCCCTACGGATAGCCAACGGCTGTCAACAAAGATGGGCAGAGTAGCGATTGTGGTGTAACGGGTACCTGCGGGGCTGGGCAATAAACGCAAGAATGTAACCCAATAGCGACGCTGTGGCTGCAAGCAGCATGCTTCTTCCTGGGTGCACCCGCTAAGGCCACCTCAAGTCCCAAGTGCACTGAAGTTTGACACTTCGGCCACTACAGACGCCTCCAGCGAGCCTGAAACAAGAGGACAGTGGCTTAGGTCATCCTCATTCCGCCCTGGGTCCCCAATAATAGTTCGATACAACCTCGAATGCAGTTGTCGAGGAGAGGCTGGAAAGAATTCTCGTGAACTAAGATGCAGGAGTATATATCCAGTATAGGTAGGGTTGTTTTGGTTGTTTGTATCCAGCATCTATTGCACCATTGGTCACTCCACACTCGTTTGTACGCCTCGAATTCAGATACCTGCAAGGTACAAGACGCGTTACATCCACGGCTCATCCACTCAATATTCCCTTCGCCACACCTTACAGGCAGGTCGCCTCCGAGTACCTGGTCAGTAACCAAGCGGAAAGTTATTCTTCATGGCCCATCTACTACGCTACCACTCCGAAATCGAAATGCGGCCGATCAACAAAGAGACGGAAGCGGTTGAGCTAGACCATCTCTTTGAGAGCTACGCTGAGACGGATCTGTTCCAGCAGTTGACTACTTCTGCTGCCGACTCCTCAGCCGCGTCAAGTACGGCTCTTTCAGCCTTGGCTCCACCTAGATCCCTCAGGATACCCATGATAACCTGGGGCCCCACCGACTCGCCCAACATCGACTTCACCTTCTCCACATCCTGCTCCCCAGACTTCTCCACCTCCAAGACCGCCGGCTGGTGGAACGACGACAGCATGCCCATGGCGCAACAATCCTATCCCACACACCGCGAATCCCACGCTCGCCCAAAAGCCCAAAGCATTCCCATCTCCTTGGCCGGCCTCAGTATTTCCTGCGACATGAGCAGCTTCAGCAGCATGAGCAAGTATCAATCGCAACCGGAGATGCAATCATATCACCCGGCGATGTATCCTACACCCCCAACACACCCTGCTCATCCTTCAAGTATGGTACCCATCGGCACACGCCCGCTCTCCTGCCCCCCCTCTCCCACACCGCAGGCGCGCTTCCACCGCCGCCGGCCCAGCGGGCAGGCACAGCGCACCAACACGACACAGTCCCGTGGCAAGTCGTCGCAATCGTCGCACGGCACTGCACGCGCGCCGTCGAGGGGGAATGTCGGGTTTGTCAACTTCACGCTCGACGATAGTCGTAAGATCTTGACTGGTGTTGCGCCGAGCGGGTCAAGCAAGACGAAGGCGAGGCGCGAGAAGGAGGCCGCTGAGAGGAGGAGAAAACTGAGTCAAGCGGCTGTTAAGGCGGTTATGGAGGCGGGTGGGGATGTGAATCGGTTGAGGGCGTTGGAGAGGGAGGGGTTGTGTGTTTTTGAGAGCTAAGAGAGCTTTGACTCCCTTTCGAGAGAAAGTTGAATTGGCTTGACCTGGCACTCGTATACATACCCTCACTTCCGAGGCCTCACCGTATTGGCGTGTTGGAACTTGGGAGGGTAGCAATGTTTTAAAATTTTGTAAAGCGTATATTACTGTCCTGGAGAGGTAATGCGTACATAGCACGAAGGTTATACAGACACTTCATACATCAGAGTAGTAATCGAACTAGCATACCATCAGCCATCTTCATCATGCTGGATTGTGACTTCGCTATCCTCATTTCCTCTTCTGCGCTCATCCTAGCTTCGACATGTGCCTTTGCCGCAGCCACTGAGCCACACATCATGCGGCTGGAGGCTTCTGCAAGGCTGCGCCAGTGCCTTGAGGTAGCAGTCACCTTGTTGTAGGCTGACATCCCTAAGCTAATTTAGAGCAAAATTCTTGCCTTCTTCGCTTTGGAACTTCCTTCAGCCAGCGCTCTCGACCTCCAACCTCGCAAGCACCGCCTCGACGACGCCCTTTGCCCCAACACCCTTCTCCACACCCCCTAAACTCTGCTCCTCAGCCTCCAGCTCCACAGCCCCCTCGTATACCTTCACAATCGTGTCCTCGTCCACCTTGGTTCCACAAGCCACCAAGCCCTTAATCAACGTACTGACTCTTGTGATCTCCTTCATGACCGGCGCCTCAATCTCATCATTCTGGCTCGAGTACAGCGTCTCGGTAACCTGTTCATCCAGCCTGTTGATTCCAGTTTCCGTCGTTGATGCAGCGACCACCGTGTGTTTCGAAATGAAAATGTATCCATTTACACCCAGGACAACATCGATCTCGCCTGCCGCAGTATTGAGCGTGAAGACCTGCCGTCTACTCCTGACCACACCTCCCTTGCGCGACAAGATGCCGCCACCGGCACCGGACAGAGAGGTGAATAGCCCGTTGCGCAGTTTTCCGTATTTCAGTGAGCGCGTGTGTAGAGAGGCGGTATTGTCTTGGTGCAGGGATTGCACTTCGGCGACAAGCAGGTCGCCTTCTGAGAAGAAGGTGCGGATGTTCAGTTCGTCGACTGCGGTTCTCCTTCGAAGGATCCCTCCTGGCAAGTTGATCGACGAGAGGGGCAGGTTGGCAAGCATGGGCGCAGCGATGTCGACACTCCACTTTTTGGTTTGCACGTTGACTATGCGGCCGATTACTAGGTCGCCGATTTCTGGTTGGTAGCGTGCGCGCAGAGGTTGCACGGAGAGCAGCTTGTTGGTCTTGTGCAGGCTGCCGGCAACTGTGGAGATGATTGTCCCGCTGCCTGCTGGAACGTAAGTGCCGTGGCCACGCATCCATTGCGGGTCGCTTGTGATGTGTTCACCCGGTGTGACTATAGAGGCGGTATTCGAGGTTGGGAGCTCGTCGTCGGACATGTCGACGTCCGAATCTTCGGTGGGCGCATCACGGCGGGGTGGGAGGGGTGCGCTGGGAGGGAGGATTGAGACGCCCATTGTGTGTGGCGCAGGCGGTGTGGTTGACTTCTTGTTCGATTCGTAGTGTGGTAAGAGTTGAACGCAGGTAATAGTGTCTTCCTATATAGGTCGGCAGGCTGTTGGTGTTTGTTGTGGTGATGTCGTCTTCGACGTTGGAGTTCTGAAATTTTGGCGGAGAGCTTCATCGTCATCACCCCTGCACCGCGCTAGCGTTCAAAAGCGGAATGGTCAGCCGCGTCCGCCAGGCAATCGCGTCTATGTTTCGACGTCACACCATCAACGAACCTCTCATCAACGTCCGAAACCAATACTGCCATCGCGATGCCGGGTGACTTGTTACATGCACTTGATGTTCCAGAAGCACTTGTCCGAATAAGCGAGCGCATGGCCGAGCAGTACCAAGAGCCTTTCATCTACGATCTCGAGAGAGCAGTGAACACCACCGAACAGGATGACCCAAACTACTACGCACGTCTTCCACGGTCTTTGATCACGGCGTCCAATATTCAGACATTCATAAGTGGTACTGGATCATCGATATACGAGGACCTCTCACCACTACTAGAGGATACCGAGCACGAGCTCATCCTTGTGACCTGCTTCTGGGCCTCATCTGTTAGCCGTGACGTGCTCAATGCCGTGCTTCGCAAGCTATCTGATAAGGCTATAAGGCGGGGCACGGAGAAAATCCGCGTTCGAATATGTTTCTCGTCTTCTTCGGTCTTCCAAAAGTTGTTTCACAAGCAGGCAGCCAGTGGGCAAACATACCTAGCTTCTGAGTGGGTGAAGAAGTTTGGCCTACCTGATCCGTCCGAGCTAGGTGGATTGGATCTGAAGATCAAGAGCGTCTTCATCCTGCCTTTCAGTGTCATGCACCCCAAATTCATCATCGTGGACCGACAGGTAGTGGTCCTCCCAAGTTGTAACGTCAGTTGGGAAGAGTGGTTTGAAGGTGCCATAACGATGACTGGGCCCATCCTATCGCAATTCCTCAGGTTCTACTGGGCGTTCTGGGAAAGGCGAGCGGATGCACCGCCCGACTTGCCTGATAGAAAGCGGATCATCACAGTACCTGCCACAGATCGTGATGCTCCACCTGGGGTGCCCAGCGCCAGGCATACCGCTGCAGGCTTCCCAGACGACACTCCTAGCTTCTTCCTCCCAAGTCCCCACCACTGGAATCCAAACTTCCGACTCTTCGGAGCTGCCACAGCCCCCACTACGCCTCTGAACGCCTTTTTACTTACTTTGTTCGACAAAGCAGAGCACAGCATACGCATCCAAACACCAAATCTCACTGCCCCACCCGTATTATCCGCGTTGTTGAGAGCACTCGCTCGCGGCATCGATGTCAAGATCTTGACGTCAGCACGACTCATGATCCTCGAGCAGCTTGTCACAGCCGGTACTACAACATATCGCTGCGTCAAGACGCTGATCAAACGATACAAGGCACTTGAACCGCGAGCAACGTCAAGGATCCACGACGAGGAAGCAGCTATGACTCCTGCCAAGGTTGGAAAGTTGCGCATCTCGTACTTCGAGCCAAGACATGGATACAAGAAGAAGGGAGAAGAGCAGGGTGAGCCACAACAGAGTCATCTCAAGATGACAATTGTAGATGGCGAGGTGCTGGTTCTGGGTAGTGGCAACCTGGATCGCGCGAGTTGGTCCACGAGTCAAGAGCTGGGGGTTGCATTCTTTGGAGCTGAGGTGGTGCGAAAGGTGGAAGAGACAGTGGATACAGCAATGGCGGGGAGAAGCAGGGTGGTATTCGACAGCGAGACCCGATGACGACGTATTGCACGACTGGAAACAGCTCTCTATGTCCACATCCCACATTCGAGCTTTGAGACGACAGTTATCGATGGCAAAACCATAGAAGGGCTACTTTCACGTAGCTCTTCTCTACGAATAACTTCCTTGACAGCACGTAGGACACAACTCCTCATGCTGATCAGTGTGACCATCCCCACTTGCCACAAAGCCCTCGCAGCCCCAGCTCATCTCGCCATCGTTCCTTTAACGGTTTCTCTCATAGCTATTGCTGCATAACCTCTGAGGTTCACATCGTCAGTAATATTCGCTCACCAGATGTGCGTATCACTTACCTACTCTACATTGGCTTGCACTCCTCCACCTGGCTCACATCTTGCGACTCTCTGCTTTCGACGAGCGCCTTTACACCCTTGGCTAACCTCTCAGCGCAGCAGTACGAGCGTGACGTAGCCTTGCCAGGATCTGATTCTATGGACTCTGCACTCCGGGGGTAGCTTCCGCAACCAATGCCTACGACTTACACCGTAACACTACGTGCGTGTAAGTTGTAGCGTGCTGCAGCAAGGAAACCTCCGATGTCTCGTGCTCTCAGACAAAGAGTATTGATGCGGTAGTCCTTCGGTCCACACAAGGTTGTTGCGGTGTGTAGATCGGCCACCTCCAGCGTGAGCTTCAGCTCGACAAGGTTCCATGCACCGACTTGCCAGTTCGAGTTGGGCCATGTATAGTCTCTGGCGTTAGAAAGGAGCAAACGCCATCGAGGTGTGGAGGCGTCGCCGAAACCAAAAGAACCTCATGTGACTGTACCGGGAACGTACATTCGGAGGTCCGAATGACGGATGTGGCGTACAAAATAGGTCGGAGTATGCGGGACACTTGTGTCTTTCAGGCGCAAGTGAAGTTGCAAGGTGTTTTACCCCCACACTTCCAGTGCAAACTCGCTCATGCGCTTGCTGGTGAGGAGGAAAGGCAGGATAGCCCTCCTGGAGCGCAGGTCGACTGGGTTGTCGAACAGAAGGAGGCACTTAAGGATCTCGACTTTCAGTTCGTCGGGCAATCTCGCCAACGGAGAAAGGACTTCGGTATCGTTGCCCATGTCGCGCCTGCGGGTGGAGCTCTTTTCTGTCTAGGGTGGAGGCCTGCGACCCAGCACTAGCGCATCGTGCGCGAGCAATTTGTCTTTCACATCCTTCGATTGCATTGTACGATCAAACAAGTCCATATCCAAGGAATACGGCACGAGTAATGTCGAGTACGGTCAAAGATTCGACAACTCATGGTTCGGTGTATTGCAGCTTCACGCACTACCTCTGTGGAGTACAGTCGTTGAACGGTGCTACGCTGATCAACGTTTATCATCTACCAGTACAATTCCCAGCGACCCTTCACGGCTCTACACAACTTCGAGCGCCCATCCACAACGGCCTGTTGTATCCTTCACTCTTTCTCAGCCACGCGACGAGGTCGCTCCATTAGCGCTCTTAGACCTATCGCGGGTCCCGCGGCGCAACGATGCGGACAATGTCTGACCATTGCAAATCCACGCACTTCGCGACCGCTATTGTCAAAGTCCGTTGCTGTCACGCAGTAAGAGTCTCCCTGCCAGCCATCGGTTCTCACCGTGACGCGATCGGCGCGCAAATGGCAGAGCCCAGCGTTCAGGAATCTTTCGATGCTCTGATGCCAAAGCAAGGGTGTCCTCTCCGTTTTCAGGATGACACACAAGTCTCGTGGGTTTGGAAGTTCCTGCTGCCAGGCGGTATCATGTGAATCTACCAGAGGATTTTGTGAAGTCAAGAGACGACGCCATACGTTGACTCGTTCCTGGCAGTCATCCCATCGCGGATATGACCCTTTGTCTACGAGTATATGCTTGCGCCAACTCAGCATGCGAGGAACGTCGAAACGCACGTGTGACCCGCGACAATGTCTCCCTGGCGATGGACGTGTCATCGCAAGATTCACTTGACGTGGTTCACCCTGGATATGTCCTGCCACGGGTCTGAAACGTAGCCTGAAAAGGTTCTGGCCCCAAACATCCAGCGCAATCTTACGCATGCCTTTGCTCGTAAGGAACAAAGAGATAATCTTGTGCTTGTGATTATGCTCAACGGAGATGCGTACTACCAGCCAGTACCTGAGGATTTCGACTTTGAGCTCAACTGGCAAGGGTTCCCATGGGAATGGAACGTTGTCGAGAATAGCCTTTTGTTTGATTGGCGTCGTCTCGGTTGATGCGTGCTTTGTGTACGGTTTTATTCGACAGTGAAGAACCCTTCGCAGCGAGCGAGTTGATAAGAAAGCGATGGCCGAACATCTGGTGTAAAGGACGAGTAATTCTCACTCCGTCACAAGGCAACCGCCACCCTATAGGAGCCGAGCAATTCACTGATTAGTTCTAATGACCCTATGAACCTCACGCCAAACCTTAAATTACCTGTTGGCACACGCGTAGGAAGGTCCGACAGACCTCGGTCACGCCTCCTTCACAAGAACGCTATTGAGTACTCAGAAGACGGATATTGTTCGTCGAGGCGGAGTGAGTTAGAAGTATATCATGAAAGTCGTTCTTTCGCGCCAGGGCTACAGGAAACTAGAACCCAGGTCCATCATCACCTACATCAGACTTTGTACGATAGAAACAGTCATAAAGATTTTACATCTTGATCCCATATCAGCACTCACCATTTGGTGAGTAGTTAAAACCAACACGATAGGGTTCCGCTCTATGTGCCTCTTCTTCAGACAATCTAGTTTGGCATTGGTGCTTTGGGGTGGCTTCAGCCTCCACCGCCACCACCGCCACCATAGTCACATGTCAGCTAGCAGTCCTAAACACGTGAGTTGGCGATGGACAACATACCCCGCCTGCGCTGCCTTCTGAACAGGGCCCGACTGCAGACAAAACAGGCCACAATGTCGCCAAGTCATGGCGCGTCGATGCATGTTCAACGGTGAAGACGACCATGCTGTGCTTTAGCCGCGGAGCCACCCCGCGGAGTTGCAATCGTTAGCCAATCACCAGGCTAGACCCTGTTCTCAGAGTCGGTCCAACCTGCCTGCCAGCATCCCCACCACTAGTGCCACTTTGCACACGAATGACGTCTGAGGAGCCCCTCGTGCGTCATGGGCGTAAACAACGCGTTCTCTCCTGCTTGCTGTTTCAGGCTGCTTCTCGACCCTTACGATCGATCTACTGCAGATCCAGGTCTCCCAGGCATAATTCTACCCCAACTCGCATCCACACAGTCGTATAAGATCCTCATCTTCCAACATACTCTGCTCTGCTTAACTCTGTTCTTTTCGCGAACAATCCATACACTTACCTCCCCGTGTCCCACAACAGACACAAACATGAACAACATGTCAGGTCTTGCAGATACCCTGACCGCTTCAGGAGGCGCCGAGTCTGCAGGTTAGACAATGTCCCCCGTAGCATCTGCTCTTTGGACAATGAAGCCAACTAACGACCGAACTCAGGCTTCCTCAATGACATTGTCGAACAACTATGGCCCAACATCAATGTTGCCGGCTGCAACATGGTGAGAGAGATTGTCGAACCTATTCTGGCCTCCACACTTCCAGGTCCATTGGCAAATCTGCGATTCACCAAGCTTGATCTAGGCCCTGTACCTTTACGCTTGTCTGCAGTGGACGTACACAAGACCTCCATGGGAGGGATCAAGTTGGACATGAATGTGAGCTGGGAGAGTATGAGCGATATTGAGCTGGACGGCAGGATGGTCCCCAAGATCGTAAGCTCTGAATGCTTCCAAGGTCGTTGCGGTTTGCTAATAGGTGGCAGGGTATCGAGCGAGTCCACCTCAAGGGCAGACTTTCTATTCTGCTCGCTCCTTTGACAAATGTCATCCCACTGGTATGAATCCTCTTGCAGGACATGCCAATATGCATAAACGCTAAGGTCAGACCTAGATCGGTGCTGCGCAAGTCGCCTTCATCAACCCTCCAGAGCTATCGCTCGACTTCACAGATGCCGCCAACATCGCAGACTTAGGCATTATCTCAAGTACCATCCGCAAGACTATCCTCGGCATCATCGGTGGCATGGCCGTTCTGCCAAACCGCTTCCTCGTCAAGCTTGACAATTCGAACGACTATTTCAAGACTTACCAACCTCCCCTCGGTGTCGTCCGCCTCACGATGGAGCGAGCAATTGGAATATCGGGTCCCAAGAAGAGCGGCGCAAAGCGTCTTCTCGCCAAAATTGTAAAGGACGTACCTGACTGCTATTGCAAAGTAAGTGTGGGCGCTGAGGAAGAGTGGCGCACATCGACCAAGAAGAACAACCATGACCCCGAGTGGAATGAAACGCATGACTTCCTCGTCGCAGACTTCGAGCAAAATATTACTCTCGATGTGCAGGATGACGATGTCGGTGCTGACGACGACATCGGCATCGGATCCATCTCCATCAAGGACATCCTGCTCGGCGGCGGCACGAAAGAAATCGCACTTACCCACAAGGGCGAACACACGGACGCCCGCGTAACAATACACGCTCAATTCTTCAACTTCGTCAACGAACCCCAAGCACTCTCCGCGACACAGAGCCAAGGTGAAGGCCAACTCTGCGGTCTCGCCACCGTCCTCGTCGCCAGCGCTCTTGGTCTTCAGGGTCAGCGCGACGAGCTCCAACCCAGCGTAAAGGTATCCTGGGGCAGGAAGGAGTTCCGTACTGCGATCAAGACGTACACGCCTGGCACAGATATCTTCAATCCTAGCTTCGACCAAGCATTTAGAATCCCGATTACAAGGGATATGGTGAACAGCCCGGCGCCGTTCAGGATCAGCTTGTTAAACAAGGAGGCGGAGACTGGTGCGATTGAGATTCCGTTCACGGATGTGCAGAATGGACAGGATCTGACTGTGTCGAATGCGTATGATGTTGGTAGTGGAGCGACGTTGAGAGTTGCGATTAGTTTGAGGGGACTGCAGTTGGCTTAGTAAGTCAGCATGAGATCATTCATGGATCGTCAGGCTTCCAGGGTCGACGTGCCCTTTCTTTAAGTGGTTAGTGTGGCGCCTCCAGCGTGCAGAACTCCCGAGGTCTATGGCTGAACGAGAGTTTTATCCAGCATCCCATCTCGCTCATCATCCCGTTGAGACTGGGAACCTGCAGGCGCTCTTTACAAGACTGTTATTGCGGTATCAATTAGTCCATACAAGGTCTGGCTATACCCGTAGCAGACTACCCTAGTCTAGTGTTTTACAAATCATGTACATAGTCGTCTTCCCCTAGCTAGATAGCACCTCAGCGCAGTATTCCATCAACTCAAGAGTCCTACATTGTCGTTCACCGTAGCTATCAGTGTACTACATCGGCCTACGCTGCCACGATTGTGAATGCACAATTTCTATCTGAACATGTTTTGCACTGCTTTGGTCACAACCATCCGCGCACCTCAAATAGTTGATCGGTTACAGGAGAGTCCGAAGCGTCTTGGGTGAAATGCACCAAGTTGTGACAGTTCGCGACTACGCCACCAGGTGAGTGGGAGGCTACTACCAGTTCTTCACACACCACACCGTGATTCAGCCTTGCCGGACTTTGTCAGGCTGCTGTTGGCTTCTCTCTTTAACTGTCTTGCTTTGCTCATTTCTACAGTAAGCTAAAGCACAATGTTTCCAATTCATCAGGCGTTGTCTTTGTTCTATCAGCACACCTCGACAGAAAGTAACATAGACATTCTCTGGAACAGGTCGGCCTCTGCATTAGCATCTTGCTTGGCCAGAACATCTTGCCATACTCGTGCTTCAACAGCTTAGCGTATTTCTCGTCCCTTCGAATACTGCAAAGACAGGTAGAACCATCGATGTATGGCGAGCAGGTATCTCATAGCTCCCAACCCCGAAGTACCTTACTGGTGGCCTCCAAAAAGATATCGAGCGCTAAATTATCGAACAAGCGGATCATGGTTTCCGATCGTGTCCCAAGAAAGCAACACTGCGGTATATGCGCAAGCAGCACGATGATATCTACCCAGTCGTGGGCAGTGTGAGGAGATATTGCACTGACAACATCTGTGCCACTCGGGCTTACTGATCCGAGAGCTTCGAGTTTAGATGCAAGTTTGCCACTACAACGTCGTGTCAGAATTGTACGAGCCAATCGGTAACAACAAGGTGCCAGTGGGACTGACACAAGGTCTAGATCTAAAGAAACATCCTGCGATGACCGGTATAGCGTCAACCCAGCCCTGGGTACCACCAAGTCTACAACTTGTGGTCCCGACCCCAGCCAGAGCATCTTGACTGTTTGAAGGAAGTCATGGGATAGGATATGTCGAAGGGCAGAGTCGGACTTCGAAGGGACCACTTTGGGTTGCGCGCCAATTACTACGGTACTTATGAAGAACGGTATGAGATAAACGGGTAATCAAACCTATACATGCCATCTCCTCTACTGGTGTCTTGTAGGCCGATATGAGCAAACATTACGCCACACACAAGATTTTGTTGGTCGTAAAGTAGCGATGATCGGATGTTTTCAAAAGCCTACAATGGAGGGAACATGCATCCGGTGGAGTTCAAGAAAAGAGTTACAAATGCAGCCTATACGTTCGGACAGGATCCTGAGTTACGTTAGTGAGTGGTAGGTGCCGATCAGTATTGTAGCGGCGTGGGCCGCTGTAGAATACTGATAGCTACGGTTGACGATAACGTAGGACTATCAGGTCGATGGAATACTGCGCTGAATTGACATATAGCTGGGAGGTGACGACTATATACCTGACCTCAGGCCAGTGACCTGTCACACACTAGACTAGGGTAGTCTATCAGGGGTACAGTCAGACCTTGTATGGACCAACCGATACCGCAACAAGTATGCGTACGTTTGTAGTGCGACAGAGCTTCTCAAGCCTGCTCCGCCCGAGGCAAAACTCCACAGGGACCTCCACCGGACTCTCCACCGGAGCCTAATTAGCCCTAAAGGATTGCTGATGGAAGTGAGTGATTGTGGTGTCGTATTGCAGATTAGTGGAAGCTCCAGACTATAGACGCTAGTACTATCACATGGTGGCTATTGGTGGATCCTTCACCTACGACAATCGCCAGTATGGACGTAGTGTCAAGGAGATTCGGGCGCGAAAAATAGGATAAGAAACAATGGAATAGGCCATGCCCATTGAATAGCAAATAAGATCTGATACGACCATTGTATGTTTCCACCGGAGAATGCTGACTGTACGCTTGCAGAGATAAGCTGCCCGAACGCCCAGCAGAGGTTAACGTAGACAACCAGGTATCCACGTAAGGCCATCGGACAGACCTCGCTGGTATACGCCGGGGCCATAGTTGCAAAGACACCCTGTAGCTATGGGTATATTCTTCCAATGATGCGCATGATCGATGACTTACCCATTGTATACCGCAAAGAAACTTGCCAACAAGAAGGACCGGCAACTGGGTGCAGAAAAGGAGATCGCGATGAAGGCGCAGATGAAGGCCAATGACACAAGCAAGACAGGGCGGTATCCGAACTTGTGGCAGAAGTAGCCGTTGGCAAAAGCGTCTATGATGGTGTCACATCCAACAGCGTTGCCGAGTCCACTTTGCCAAGGTGCAGTGATTTGAGAGTTGCCGCTGTCGTCGCACTCGTCGTACTTGTGTCGGAGGGTGAAGGTATCCACCGATTGCCATCTGTTTGCTAGCGGGTCCACTGCACTGATTGTGTTTGCTAGCGGTCCGCTGCAGTGACTGTCCAGCTCATTTGGTTAGTTCAGTTTGCTTCCCACCCTTCACTGCTATTGCCTTCTACTATATAGTCCCGATCGATTCCAGCCAATAGCTAAAAGAATCAATCAACATCTCAACCCTTCCACAACTTGCGTGAGAAAGCCGGCTGAGCGAAGAAATAATAGATGAGGACGATGCCGTAGCCTTCCATGATGATATGTGTTGAAAGTAGAACGGGCCATAAGACAGCTTTGTGGAGACTGATGGCTTGGCGGGGTGTAAGTCAATGTTCGTCGGCGGCCTGCTTAACTTGGTGAGAATCCTCTTGGTGCTCCTACATAGTGATGTGGTTTTTGACTTCTGTCGTCATACTGGCATTATTCGGAGTCTAGAAGGTGAGGTTCAATAACAGAAATGATCGACATGGCAACCGTAGCAGCAGCAGGAACATCTATGCATGTGGCCGTGGTCTACTCACAAATGTGTTTTGGTGTACGCCTGGAACACCCGGCCATACCCCACTAGAGATGGTAATCTGGGGCAAGTGCTGTTTGAGGCTTTGTGCGGGGAAAAACCCTTGCTAGACCAGTTCCTTGAAGTCACGGTGGGGTCGAACACAGCTCCGGTGGTATGCCCGCTTCCGACCATTTGTCTGTCGGCTTTGACCAATATTGAAGGTCACAACAATGGCGACTCTGTAGAAGTAATAGGATGTCTTGACGAACACCCGGCTCGCGGTGGGAGGAGTGCCAGAGATCGGCAGTCCATGTGGAGAGCGGATTTATGATAGGGACGCTGCTATGTATCAAGTGCCTTCTTTACATGGTATATTTGAGTATGGAACTATTTCTTCTATATACTTCAAGCCGGAATCAGAGTCTAGGGGAAGATAGGACCATCTCGATCTGTAATGCTCGCGTCGTTCTCTGATGTAGCGTTGAGTAAACCATCTAGTGACGTGCCATATGACTCCTCTATACCCCATGTAAATTGCGGTGCATTACCTACAGCGTGCGAAATATGATCCGTGTTGACTAGTGCCTGTAAGCCGGCGGTGAGCAGGTAATGACCTTCGCCAAGGACTTTCGGTGTAGCTTGAGGGTCGAGGATATGGCCAATTATCGAGATTTCGGGACACATTTCGGTGCCGATAGGTCGCGTGTATCAAGAGTCCCACGCTAAATTCGCTTAAGTCCGCAGGCAACTGGTTTTCAATGTACAACGTCTCCAAAGCTTCAGCAAGTGTTATGGTGGGAAACACCCTGTTGCCGTGTCGAATGAGGAGCGAATCCCTTGATACATCCTCGCGTGAGGGATGCCTGGCTTTGGCATCATCGAGGTCCATTAAAGGCCTTACACCGAACTCGTACAGCATTATCGAGTCGAGGAACTATGCAGGTTAGTGGGCGTTTTGGTTTCCGGAAAAGAATGTCTATTACCCACATCAACATTCCAGTACGGACTCCAGATTCACGAGTGAGCCAACGTTGCAGTTCGATATCTGTGCTGCTGTGTAGACTATTGACTCCATCATCGGAACCTCGGTCGAGCAAGCCCTTGATGATACGGGTGTAGCTGAGATGTCGTTCTGCTGTTCATGCGAAGCCTTGTGACACGTCAAGACATCGCCTGAATCCATCAGATCGCGTCAACAGGCCAACAAGAGCCAGGTTTGGGAAGGAGCAACCTACAGCCTCGAAAAGTGCTTTTCGCAATAAGAGCATCTGTATGGCTTTTCGTGTGTATGTATCCGAAAGTATCGAGTAAGATGTTCCTGCCTCCCGAAGCTTTGGTGACATACAGTTCAGCTCAAATGCATGGTTGATAGCGCCCAAGGACGTGTCATGCTTGTGTGCGCTTGCAAGACTGTGCAACTGGTCTCTTACTCATTGTACAAGAAAGTTCGAGCGTCTGGTCAAAGTCTGGTGGTTCATCGTGGAAACTTTGAGAGAGACAAGTCTTGGGGAGTCAATTCCACTTGAGCAAAGCTAAGATTTAGCGTGAACACTAGGCCAGATTTGGCACACATCACGAGGACACTGCCGAGGTGGAAGTTATTCATATCAAGATCAAAACCGACGAATTGTATGCAAGGTTTGAAATTCTCAGTTATAGAGATGAGCAACGTACTCAAGGCCTAACAAACACAGGCATATCCTGAAGAGGGGAGTCAACGGTGACGGAAGCGCCACCTTGAAATGTATCCTCGCTCCACAGTCTTTTCCACTTCCCTCCACTAGCCAGCTTGGGCAGGTAGACTCTTGTCTGAGTCTGACCTTCTTCATATATAGGGCAGCACAGGTACTTATCACCGTACATATACTGCACCTCAACCTCCCAACAAGTAGCGTCTTCTGGAAACTCGTAGAATAGCGTCCTTATAACTGGAGAGCCTTTCTCGTGGGCCTCCATCATGAGTTTCCGAGTGTATGGACGAAGCTCCTCACGTAGCTCCATGTACTTCTTGCAGATCTCGAACACTTCCGGTCCATATGACCACACTTCATTGTCTGCGCCGCTGCAACACGATGCTCCTCCTGTTGTTCCAACCTTAGCCTGCCTTGGCTCACGATCTCCGTGGAGTCTCATCACGGGGCAGAAAGCGCCCCATTGGAACCACCGCACGAACAGTTCGCGGAACTTAGGATCGTTGGGATCTCCTCCATGGAAGCCGCCAATGTCCGTAGTCCACCAAGGAATACCAGCCATTCCCATAGACAGACCTGCTGCCAACTGATCGCGGAGACTAGTCCACGAAGATGCTATGTCGCCGCTCCACACAAGAGCACCGTATTTTTGGCTGCCAGCCCATGCACAACGAACGAGGTTGACAACGCTGGTCTGGCCCTCTTCTGTCATGCCATCGTAGAAGGTGCGTGAGTACTCTCGCGGATAGATGTTACCGATAGCGACGTTCGACCCTAGATGATATCGATAGTTCTCGAAGTCGTAGACCGAGTACTCAGGCTCTGCCTCGTCGAGCCAAAAGACTTTGATCCCCTTGGAGTAATAATTCTTCTTCGCTTTGCCCCACACATACTGGCGTGATGCGGGATTGGTTGGGTCGAAATGGACGGTAACGCCTTGGAATGTCATGGCGATCCGCTCGCCACGTTCAGTCCGGATCAGGTAGCCCTTCTCGAGCATCTCCTTGTAATTAACAGATTTGCGATCTACTGTGGGCCAAATCGAGACCATGAGTTCGATACCCATGTCCTGCAGCTCCTTGACCATGGCATCTGTGTGACTTTATGTAAGCAGATAGAGAAACCGGGAATGATTGTTGCGTACCTGGATCCGGCCAGTAGGTCTCATCGAATCTCCAATCACCCTGCTTCGGCCAGTGGAAGAAGTCAATGACGATCAAGTCAATTGGCAATTTCAGTCGTTTGTACTCTCTTGCAACCTTGAGAAGCTCCTCTTGTGTCTGGTAGCGCAGCTTGCATTGCCAGAAACCGAGACCGTACTCTGGCATCATGGGCACCTTGCCTGTTGCCTCAGCGTACGCCTCAACAATCTGCATGGGGGCCTCGCCTGTCACCACCCAGTAGTCCAGAGCCTTCGTCGACAGAGCCTCGAAGCTCATGATGTTCTTGCCAAAGACTGCGCTACCGATGGATGGGTTGTTCCAGAGAAAGCCATAGCCTCGCGAGGATACAGCGAACGGTACGCTAGCTTGAGAGTTCCGATGCGCAAGTTCGACTTGGGTTCCCTTGATGTCAAGGTACGGCTGCTGGTATTGACCCATGCCATAGATCTTCTCCTTGGGATCGAGGCTCTCAAATCGAGCGGTGAGATGATAGTCCCCACCGATGATTGGCTTGAATTCACGCGCCTCAATCTCGAGAGCACTACACTTGGGATCCGTGAGGTCACGCCGGTGTCGAGTGAACTCCTCGAGTAACAACTTTCCGTTACCATCGCGGACTGTCAGCTTGCCGCGCTTGGTGACTGTAGCTTTGATCTGACCGTTGATCAAGGTAGCTAATTCGTCCTTGATGTTAATAGCCGCTTTGTTATGCGCTGGATTAAGCAGCGCCCAGTTTTCGGCGGGCATGCTGCTCGCTTTGGTGGCACGAACACGAATAGCATTGCGGCCCCACGCCTCAATCCAGAGCTGCTCTGCATCGTATGCGAAGACGAGGCGTCCGTTCTTATCCGAAAACATGCCTCTGAAGACTAGCAAATTTTCCGTCGAAGATGATTATCAGCGAGAAGCGTGAAGCTAAAAGAGTAGTTAGGGGAGAAAAGAGGATGTAGGAAACCGAACGACACGTGCCGTTATATATGCAGACCACACGGGCGCAACCCCAAGGCTGCGACCAGAATCCATTGCCAAACACTGTGGGCCTCCAGGCTTGGGTAACAATGTGCGCGATGCCAGCATACGTTCTGCATGTTGCGTGGAGGGAGACGCTCTCCTCGGGCCTCCGCCGGACGCTAATTTTACCGTAGCGCGTCCTCCATTGGAGAAGATCACGACGCGCTTCGGGGGTTGCATTTGACAATGCTTACGAACCGGCATGCTTCTACTTGCGCGAAAACGTTGCATCACATTTCCTATGATTCATTGTTGCGAAACTCTACCTGCCACCGTTACCTAGGCCAGCGCTACCATCCCCCCCCCCCCTAGCCTGCACATTCTACACCAAAGGTTGAAGCTTCCGCGCAGTCATTGACTTACAAATCATGTCGCGGGTAGCTTCGCAGGTGTAGGAACTCGCCTACTGTCTCCGTTCTCCTGACATTTGCACCCGATCGATTGTCCAGCCGTTCGCTCGGGGTGTCACTTTTTTCAATCAACTCCCCGGGGAGCACCAAGAATCTGTCTAAACCGTGTCCTATGCCTAATTTTGCGGTGTGGTGAAGGTTACACTTGAGTCAGGGTTGAAGTGAGCGCAGCGGAGTGGTCCTCGTATCGTCGCTGATACAGATTATGGTCTTCATCTTCTCCTCAATACGCGCAGCGCATGCAAAGGTGCAGGTGAGACGCTGAAAGGTTGGGCAGGGCGAAAACCTTTCACATCTATCCCTTCAAAAGAGACAGCCATGTTCCTTACTTGCAGGATGATGATGCTCTCATTCAAAAGCCTTGCTGCTTGCGCGATGTAGCACAGGAGCATCGAGTGGGTGACTTCCAAAGATCGGGTCTGCATATTCTGGGCGCATCAATTCTTGATGGAACTTTAGAACAATCCGTAGCTTTCTGAGCTCCGAGAAATTTTGCTGCCACGCCGTATCGCCGTGAAGTTGCTCTCCGGGCAGTCTCGCGGGGTGTTTGTCAGGACATGGCAGCAAGCACCCAGCGTTGAGCAGTATCTCATCGTATGCGGTTTTCGGCCCCAGTCTTGCGTCGGTGAGACAATGAAGCTGATTTTTACGTTCTGGAGGTGGTAAGCAAACGATGAACGAGGGATGAGGAAGTGAAGTCCACCGCGTGCGTAATCGAAGGTATGGAGACTGGAGTGTAACAGCCGTACAGTGTTATATGTCCAAGTCTGTTGGGCAAGAGTGCGCATCCTCTGGCTAGTGAGAAGAAGGCGTAGCAGAGCGCGGCGGGAATGAACAGCATGCGTCCGCCAGGTCAGCGCCAGCCTCATGAGACGATGTTCGAGGACGTGCAGTTGCAGCTCTGTCGGGAGCCTGCCCTCGTGGGAAGGGGATCTCGGTGTTTCCAAGCATCGTATGCTGAGGGTTCTTAGCAGAATCTTTGGCGGTGGAGGGTTTAGGTGGTTGGTATCAGAAGGGAGCCACGACCTCGCGCGACAGAAGCGCTGTGTCCCTCAGAAGAAGTGAAGGGAGGCCAAGTCCGTTTGCCTACCCGCCCTATACTCAACAACGCGCAAGCACCCTTCAAAGTGAGCAGAATCGGAATGATTGATGGGCTGCTATGTAGTCTTTATATACTGTGGGCACTAGGGCCTGTTCTGGAATAGCCTATAGGCCTGAGTGAAGGTGCCTGCCTGACACACCCTGTACTGCACATTCCCAGACTAAGCCAGGTTTGCTGAGTTGTGTAGTGTCTTTCAAAGGAACAACATACCTGCAAGCTCTAATTGCTTTGTTTCCTACGGGCTGTATCAACGGTAGGATGGAGCAGGCTTGCACCTCAAGCGGTTCATGCAGAAGACATTAACGATTTTTGTAGTCTTTACACCCTTTCTCATGGTACAAGCCCTCTCGGATCCAGGCGATTCTTCCTCTTGATGAGATGTCGACGTACCTAGTTGGAAGCACTCCAACCAGGTACCTCTCTTATCTCCGCCCATATATTCGCCTTCATCACGATCCCAAACTTGAGTCTACTTCCACCATCATCCTCGATCACGTCATTATACCCATCTGGTCTCCGAAACTCAAATCTGCCTATCAGACCCATAAGCATGCTGGCCATGACCACTCGAGTGTACGACTCGCCAGGGCATTTTCGCAGCCCCTGACCAAAAGTCATAAAACTGAAAGCGTTCCAACGTTTGGTCTCTTTGTCAACTGATTCTGCAGGATTCCAACGCTCGGGCTTGAAAATGTCGGCGTCCGGACCCCATTGCCGTGGGTCTCGGTTCGTTGCATATACTGGCCAGACCAGGATTGTGCCTTTGGACAGATGTAGGTTGTCCAGCATAGTGTCGGCGTTCACCACGCGACCTCGGTGCCCGACGTTTGGGTAAAGCCTCAGAATTTCGTTCACGACGCCGAGAAGATAGTTTTGACAGTGCATGGTCTCCCACGACATGGTAGCTGGCGGGTTTGGGAAGCTTGCATGAATCTCGTTGCGTAAACGGGTTTGGACGTGCAGATTGTCCGGATGCGAAAGTGCATAGATTGCCCACGATAATTGATTCGATACCATCTCCGTATTCGCAGCCATTGTTGTCATGAGGTGTCGCATCAGTACGCGCTCAGATAGGCGATTGTAGCCTCTTCGAAGTAGACCATTCATGATATCATGCGACTCGTTGGCTTCCGTGCGACCATCGTCTTGGTTTCTGATCAATCTTAGTTTGAACTACGTCAAGTCAGTCGAATGTTGTAGTGAATTAACTCTATCTGCGAACGTGATGTTACACCTAACGGATGTTCACCTACCTTCATTGTTTCCTCCAACAGAGTCCTCATTCTCCACACATTGACACCCATCAATTTGCTGATGAGTGCGACTGCGGGTAGTTGAAGTGCAACGGGGCAAATATGCAGCAGCTTCATGTACAGCGACGATCTCTCACCGAGTTGGAAAGGGCGCAGGTAGTTCTGTGCAATGGGTTGTTGAGGATCCCTCAAGATATCGATATCGATGCCGAACCCAGCGTGCAAGGAGATTTCGAGGCATGCCAGCTGGAGAAGAAGATTCACTTTGATCGTACTGCAGTCAGCAATCAATTTTGGAACATCAGTAACAATTTTGAGGATGCTGGTCCATATTTCAGGATAGAGAATTCGAGTTGAAAGGTCGTTGAAAGCTCCAATCGTGACTTTGCGGTGAAGCTTGATGTGATGAGTTCCTGCGCTTGTCGCTGAGGATGAGAGTGACATACTTTATGAAGATCTCCTTTTGATGAGACTAAGCCACTGACGCCAACCGCACTCTGGAGGTTACCCAGCCATGGTAACTTGTCGTACTTCTGCGCGTCTTTTTGCAATACTTGCTTCATGGTCCCCGCAGAGGTTATAAACAATCTCTCTTGATTCAGGAACCCAAAGAACCGGACCAAGCCATTATTTGGAGTCTCCTGCATCCAATATCTAAGCTCGAAAGGTGTCGGTTCGTGGAACAGCCGTCTCCACAACGAAGGCTGTTTTGCAGTAGGCAAATGTCTGTATGGGCTGATCAACTGCCGAACGAAGAGCATGTAGATGAGGTAACAGCCTATTGAAGCACAAGAGACGATGGCGAATAAGGTCATGGTGGTGGCAATGGTATTTTAGAATGTGAATAATCGAGCTCGATCACAATGCGCAAACGTAGCAAGCAACCACCTGCGATGCATCGTACAGTAAGAACTATGGCAGGCTCTTGAACGTTCGTGTTTGTGCTGTTTCGACATGCTAGCAAGAGGGCTGTTCGCTCATCTTGCTTTTTTTTAGGAACAATGTGCGTACACGACCGAAGATGGCGATTAAGCACAAGCTCGCTGTCTTAGCGTTGCCAAATCCTCGATTGGGTGGTAGGCTCCGATGGCCATACTGTGGAGGCTACCGGATTCGATCAAACTCACGTTGCAATGATAAGCCTCCAGCGCTCATGTGCAGGGAGGAGGTCCGGAAATGTTCGGTACGGATCGGCCTGAAGATGGTTGGTGTGGAGCAATTACCCACATGCTCGACGAGTAATCGGTTCGTGGGTTGTTTTTTCTACGTGTATTTGTTTGTTAATGCCACAGTATTGGCTGGTGTAACCGGGCTTTGTTTCAGTCAGCGGAAGCCACCTCGCTGTGCAACATGAATGAGAGATCGTCTAGTACCCTTTGGCCTCTCACGATAAAGGGCATACATTGAACCGCCTTCACATATTGAGTCCATTGTACCGACACAGTTTTGCCGATGTTCACGTAGGGCTGAAGCTTTACAAGCTTTCCAATGCCCGGTCAGTCACTACCGTGACAAGGCTTTAGGTTAAAGCACTTACCTCTCGAGCTCGAACATGACAACATCGTCAGTAAACATTACATTCGCACAAAACACTCCACTCACTCAACAGCGGAATGTACGCGTATCCTGGAGTAAGTTCGCACCTTCAGCTTGCTCGGTAAACTGCAGTTGCTGACTTACAGCCACCGTATGCTTTGCCATACGCACAGCTGGGAGGACTGCCCACTCGACACCCCGAGCTTCCAATTCTTGTCATGTTCCTTGCCACCTACTGCACCGCATGGCTCTACAGTCTTTACATCGTAGTACGATGCTACCAAAGGAGCTGCAACAACAGAATTGCAGTTGTTCTGTTACTCGCTTGCGGCGAGCGCATCACCGCATATATTATGCGGATAGTTTGGATCTTCCGAATCAGCGACATCCGCATTGGTATCGCTTCGCAAATCCTGCTACAAGCTGGAGTTATATTAGTATATGTTGGTGCCTTGCTATCAGCTGCATCGTTGTTAAGGGTGCACGTCAAATGCTTACCTTGGCTCACGCCGTTCCTTATTACGCTGTCAATCGTAACAATTATCTCGTTCGTGGCAAATCTGGTGTCTACGATTGTGTCAGTTCATACGCTGCAGGACCACGTGCGACAAACCTGCCGAGATGTTCAGCGCGTCGCAGCCACATATCTGGTTTTCCTTACGTTCATATCAGTATTGATGCTCGTGGTCGTCTTTCATGTCCTCTGGACACGCCAAAAGATCTCGAGAATATCGGAAGCAAAGACAGCTGGCTTTATCTTTTCATTCGTGTCAATTGTATGCTTGCTTATGGCTAGCTTCAAGGCTGGGGTGATCTGGAAGAATCCGTCGCCGTTGTTCAGCCCCGCTTGGTACCTTTCCCTTTCCAGCTTGTACAGCTTTGAGCTAGGGCCGGAGTTGTTGGTGACTCTTATACTCCTTGGAACGAGTGCACGCGTTGGTGCTCAAATGAGGAATGCTGCGGTTATCCATTGAGGACGATGTCTAACTACATCTCCGATCATCACTCGATCGTCCCTTGTAGAAACAAGTTTAGCAATCCCCTTATCTTGTCACGGTTCAGGGTGCTCCTGCCTGTCAAACCTCACCCGCTATGAGAGTGACTGCTACGTCACACTAGCGTTGTTTACAGCTACTCACATATACATACTGTCCGTAGCTTCATCCAATACAATCTCAGTTCAATCCTTCAATATTTCCGCACATGCGTACTGATCACTCACGATCCACACCCTAACATATCTAGATTGACAAAGATTCTTGTTCTCTTCAGCAACTCACTCGGTGCACTGCTCCGAGCATGACGATGCTTTGAATCTGTATCATAAGAGCCACAATCGACATCTTTCACCTCTACGCGGACGCTTTTTTGGCTGTAGCATAATGATGTCATGGCTTAAAGAGTCGTCAATGACCCTGCTCGAGGAAGGCGCAAAGCAAACTTTTGCTCTCGTATAATCGCTTGATGTTTCGTAGGTTCACTCGACCATCGACAAGGTGACCTTGAGGTCTCGCAGTTAGTGAAGTTATTTTGCCGTTCTATATCTTTTTGAATGACGTGTAACGGTGCTGCAGAAGCGTCGTGAGGGTGAGTGAAGAGCAACCAGGCATTGAATGCTTTTTCGAGGTCTCTATCTGGACGAGGCTATCTTGACGAGGCTATCTTGACCAAGTGGAGTCGTGGACACAAGCAGGAACACCTCGAGTCAACGCATATACCGAGCCAGCGTATGCACTGGGTATGTGAACATTGAAGCCCCATGCCCTGGATGGCAGGCAACCCAAATACACTTCGATAATATCGCACTGTGAGATTATTGCGACCCCATGTTTAGGGTCAGCCCACACATTGTTCGGCTTGTGAGCATTTGAGATAGGAGCACGCGTCGTGAGTGCGCAGGGCATGTCCGCTTAGTAACAAGATTGCCCATGTACGTGCGGTATTCGATAGACCGAGCTTCAAGTTCATGGGAGAGACTGTTCAATTACGATGAGCTTGGCGAGGGGTGGAGTGGGCGTCATCGAAGGCAAGCGTGTCCCGTCAAAGTCGCGCATTGGTCAGCCGAAGATGAAGATGATTCGTCTGTCGTCATTTTTGGGCAGTGGCCAGCCTAATTGCGTAGCGACGTATCGATAACTCCAGAAACGCAGAGAGATCAATCTAAAGTCGACTTAATATTGAGTCAACATGAACATCCGGGTTTTATGTAGTCCTGGTAAGTATGGCGCGTCACAAACGGAGGTCGCTGCTGGTTGTCAGTAACTATCTGGAGTATCTTACTCGAAGCTGCGGCGAAACGCAAGCTTGCCAGTTAACGGAAAGCTACAACCTATGATGCGCTTCTGAGGCTCCCAATTGTTCGATGTCAATTCTCAGTAGTCGACTGCAAAGCCAGATCGGCAACAGCACGGAGACCGCGCTCCGTCTTGGGGCACTTTACCGTGTCCGTGCGCGTAATGCGCGGATTCGCGTAATGCGCCAAACCACCTTTTTGTACCCATACTTCACTGTACAATTACTCAACGCCACAATGACTATGAAATCTGCCTTTGAAGAGATAGACTCTATGATACCAT